GCATGATATGATCAGAGAGAATAGGTTAATCTTGGAGACAGTGGGACTAAGCATGATTATTAAGAGATCAAAATAATTTAGGAGAAAAGAATCAGGTCCCTTCTGCTGTCCAGAATCCCAGATATCAAGCCCTAGAAGCTGTGACATTTTTCTATGTATCATACCTACTGAAATGCCAGTGATCAGTGATAGAGCACCTTGAGATGTTCAACACTGGGAGCTGTCATGACCACATCTGGGGTGGTGTGGGAGAGGTACCCTGATCACAAACTGCAGTCAGACCTGCCTCTGACATTTCAAGACTAAGGTCAAGAGCATATCTATCGTAGACCTAAATATTAAATTATATCAAGCTGGAAAATTAAAAATGTGGCCTATCCCTTTACCTTGGTGAATACACATTTATAATAATGTGAAAATTCAGGTTCCAAGTGAAAACTTTTGGAGTCTTTGGAGTTCTGTGCTACAATTGGGGGTGCAGAGAAATCTGTTCTTCAGCCCCCAAATCCTGCCTCAGGACACAACAGCCTCACTTCTCACACTGGCTTTACCTGGTACCACATTTATGTGGACCTCCCCATTTGCACTTCCAAACTTTCTTGCCTCTTATCTCTGCCCACAGCCACTTCTTGGCTTACCTTGACCACTCCTGAGGCCCAGATGTGCACTTAACAGCAGTGTGGTCTGTCCCCAGGAAGACAGAGCTGGGGGAAACTCTTCTTTGGCCCTGGAAGCTGGTTTGGGATAAGTGGGACATGGTTAGAAGTGAGGGCACAGTCGCTGCTTGTAGCCCTGCGAACTCTTTGCCATGGGAGGAGGAGCTCGCCAGGGGAGGACCGGAGAGAAGGCTTCTAGAGCTTGATATCTGGGGCCTGTGTTGCCCAGGTTTAAGGGGAGCATTGCTCCACAGTCATGAGCTGATGTTCACTGGGCACCAGCCTGTAGAACCACCATGCTGGGCTGGAAAATGTGAATAGCAGTGCAAGGGGAGACAGTTTAAATGACCAATGCTTAGTATAGTTAAATAGCTATGTAAAAAAAATAGGTAATCAACTCATATCTCACAAATCTCTACCCCTCTCAGGTTCCTTGTCTCCGTAAACAGTGTCCCCCATTGACCCATGACCATCAGAGACCCAGGAACCAGTCTACATTTCCCCTGCTCTCCTGCTTCACCCACTCCATTTCCCACATGTTTCTCTGGTCAGACTGCTGCATGAGACACCACCAGCTGATGTACGGGGCCCTGAGACTGCAAGTCCTGGGAGCTCAGAGGAACAGCCATCCTGCTGGGCCAGTGGGTGGGGAGGGACTCATGCCTACACTGAGCCTCTCGCCAGGAACTTCACACCTTTTGGAAATGCTTGGCTCTTGAAGGAAAGATTCATCTTGGATAAGAGAGGAGGGGTAAGACTACTCTGAACCTGCATGATCTTGTGCAGGAACCTATAAGAAGAAAAAGGAATCAGGTTCCAAATGAAAATTTTTGGAAATTCATGCCTAACTAACCAGAGACACAGTCTTCAATGGAAACACACCAGTACAGGCACAAAGAAACTACTTTGCATCTCTGCTTTGTACTTGTGCTCCTATTGTTCCTCCAAACCCTTAACCGGCTGGCTTGTTGGATTATCTCTCAGAATCTTTCACCTTCCAGGGACCTCAAAGAATCCCATACACAGCAGGGCCTATAGCTCAGGAAAGGCAGGGCTGCATGAGCCTGGGGAGCAGGCTTCTAGCTTTGCTGGACGGAAGTGTGAGAACCCAAGTGCTGCTTCAGTCTACCCCTTGGGCAGCTGGGACTCAGCCCGTATGTGTGCTCAGCTGCCCGGCTCTAAATAGAGTCTTGTGAGCAACAAGGAACCTCAGCTGTTTTATAGCCATCCTCCCAAACTTCAAAGCACTTGGCCCAGATGAGCCAAAGAAATCTGATATATATATATATATATATGTGTGTGTGTGTGTGTGTGTGTGTGTGTGTATATATATATTTATTTTTATTTTTATTTTATGCTTCTCGTGTCCATGCAATTGGAATAAACTGTAAATTAGGTGTTATAGTACTGTAGCTTGGTTACATGCAATGGTTTAGAAATGTAGCTTTAGTTTGTTATAAGATAATAGCTGCTTTGCTTTGTTGTGACACTAGCCATAAAGTAAAGTTATTACAATGTAAAATGTGGTAACCAACCCAAACTACTGAAACAGAGCCGCAAATCAGATGCCATCCAACTCTGAGAACTTTATGTGCAGAAGCAATGATGGGCTCCCGTCTCTGAACACGTAACACAGGGAGCCCTGCCATAGGCTTCAGTGTTATATGGACTCAGATATTTGACGTGGGCCAAGTCATATTCCCCCAAACCATATGGGGTGAAATTCTGTTGAAATAGAGAAAAATTCCATGCCATTTATATTGCCCAGAGGGGAGACTCCACTGAGCCTAAGCTGGCATTCAAATGTGCCTTGGCACGTCTGAAGAACTGCACGTCAGCCAGGGTCCCGAGGAGCTGCCTGAGAAGGCTGGCTGGGGAAGTACTCTTTTGTATGGATGCCCGAGAGAAGCCTGAACTAGAGAAGAGGTATCCTGTCTATGTTGGGTATTGGTCCCTATTTGACCCTACAAAGGCAGGCATGCACCTTGCAGATGGTACTGTAGGCAAAGGATGAAGGTTTTTTTTTAAGGAACTATAAGCAAAGGGGCTACCACAGAAATGTTTTAACGTCCTGGTAATAAAATGTGCTATTAAGTGAGGGAGAAACATTTCACCAAGGGACTCTCAAATAATGAGGAAGCAGGAGGCACAATGCTATCTTGGCTCCTGACAGGTTGGGAACTTCAGCAGCAGCAGGAGAAAGGCAGGGCCTATGGCACTGGCCTCAACTTTCTCAGATCTTGGCTGCAGCTACCCTGCAGCAAGGCCCTGCCAGTGGCGGCTTTAAGCTGGGCCAACATCAACAAGAAAAGTAAGAGACAACCCCAGGAATACCAGCAAATCCTGGTGGCGTCAGGGGGAGAGGGACGTGCCTGCATCCAGCAGAGTGTTTTATGCCCAAAGGTTAGGCAGACGCTGCCAGTGCCAGCAGAACTAGGCCATCACTACGAATGTGCCGCTGTTTGCAATGGGGAGCTAGCAAGGCTAAGACAACATAAGTTACAAACAGAAAAGACTTTGGTATGATTCTAATAGCTAGTATTTAGTGAGTAGGTATTATGTGCTAGACATTGTCTTAACACTTCTCATGTTTATTTAATCTTTACTGTAACCCTATAACTACCTTTGTTTGCTCCATGTCTTAGATGAATGATTGATAGCATATTAGTCTTACCCTAGATCATAAAGACTAAGTGGCCAGAGCTGAGAAGTAAACTCATAGAGTTTGATCCTCCAGCTGTACTCATGACCATTATGTGATTCCCCCTTATTCACACTATTCTGACAACCACTTTTTGTAGAGCATTGCAGATGGTTTATCTCATTCCACGCAATATTCCTGAGTCCCAAGATACTCACTAACACATTTTCATCATTAAATTTATATAGATACAATGTGCACCTCTTCAAACACATGCACATTATAGGAAAACAATTTCCTGAGCCTATAGCAGAGTCAAATTTATGTAATTTTGTGGAAAAGGGCAAATGTTTTAAGAAACATTCACTAGAGCCCAGAGAATAAAATGTATTTTGTGTACAATGGCCCACTGTGAAGCCACCCATCTTTCTCAGAATTTCATTGACACTCAGGCCAAATGGGCCCTCCCAAAATGGCGTTGGAAATAACCCAAATATTCAGATACCTCATGCATGAAAGGTATATGCAACCAGATACATAAAATTCACTGGGCTGGAGGAGAGGGCTCAACTTTGTTTATAGACTTTCTGACTTTTTTTTTTTGGTTGTTTAAAAAGCTGACAGACTGTGTTACAGTTAACAGTCCCATATTGATTATACCATTTCTGAGGTTGGCCTTTCTGTGACAGCAGGAGCATAATTAGTTTTTTCCTTGTTAAATATTTGTAAATCATTCGTACTTTTATGGGGTACATAACCTGGCTGTTACCCTTCAAATAATCTTCTTGTAACTTGTTTAAACAAGAAATACCTCCTAGAGTGCAGTGTCACTTCTGTCCTTCAACGAGATGACAACATAAGGAAGGACTTCTTGTGAAACGCGAAAGGACATCCATGCCACAGATACATAAAATAGGTCTGTAAGAGGCTCTAGCCAAACAGATTCAAGAACGACAACCAGTGCTGTCTAGTTGCTCTGCTTACACCACTTTGAGGTGTCTAGACTGGGGAAAAAGTTTGATTTTTTTTTTTTTGCTTTTTGTGTATTTTTTAAAGATACTGGTAGCCACAATTATTAATCTCAGCCATTAAAAGCATTGACTTGGGTTTCACAATGGAAAAAGTGAATCCACTTATAATTAATAACACTTATAATTATACCATCAGTGATCTTAAAGTACACATTTCAAGGTGCAACTCCAAAACATGACTTTCTCTTTATTTTGCCCACTGAGAATTGCTAACTCAAAAATAAACAACCTGAGAGGCTATCCAAATAGTCCAACGATGCTACAATTCCTAAAAAGGATCTTGGAACTCCTCTTTGGATATGGACTTTCCGGTCTAATAGCACAGGCTTATGAATAGCTTTAACATTCATAAATCCTTTTTTTTCTTTTAAAAGTTGGAGTGAATTTGTTGTTGATTAAAGGCCGAAGTCACTTGAACATAAATCTGATAAGTTGCATTAAAAAATACTGTGTATGTTAATATAACATTCATAAAATAGCAAGATATAAATCTGAAGTGAGGAGAAGGGTTGTGTCTAGTGATTTGTAAATGAGCCAAAAGTCCATGGAATCAAGAGCAAGGTCCTCGGAATAAGCACATACCTTGAGTGTAAGCCCCATGTTTGTAGGTGACAGAAACCCATTCAGGCCATTTTAAGTAAAAATTACAAGAATGAACAAAAGTTGACAAACCTTAGGGCAGGAGATAAAGCTGGGCCGGCCGGGAGACCATAGGCATAAACCAGAAAGCCCTGGGAAAAGCAGTTCGTGCTCGCTGAGGTGCAGGATCCGGCAGCTGCAGCAGGGCCCGTTCTGTCATTTCTGGGCTGGGCTGGCTGCTCGCCCAGGACCTCCGCCCAGAACCAGCTGCAGCTGAGCAGAGAGCCGCGCACCGCCCCGGCGAGCAATGGAAGAGACTGGGTTCACCTGGGTGTGCTGTGGAACGGATGGAGGCCGCGGAAAAGAGACGCAGTGCGGGAGAGGGTGGGAGGCTGGGAGTCTGTGTGAGGCCCGAAGGGAAGCTTAAGACAGAAGACCAGCTGTTTGGTTACCTGTGGATAATGAAGGTGGTATATGAACCAGAATCTAGTACTTAAATGTCATTGAAGGAAAGACACATTTGGACCATATTTTGAATGCTTTGCATCCAGATGATGGCTCCAGAGAAGCCAGTTCATTAATCTGCCTGATAGGTAAAGAAGGACTTGCAGATGGGCAATGAATCCTTTGCTTGCTATTCAGTCTCTAACTCATATATATACTGTTTTTCTACATATATTCAGTCTATAACTCATATATAACACATATATATATGTGAAGGCCAAATGTTAGACATCTCAATGGAGAAGAAATGAGCAAAGTTGGTTCATGCCATTCCATCCTCTCAATCCTTTTTATATCCCATGCAAATCAATGTGTGGCAATCTGTATCAATTACAGCTGAACCAAATGGTTTTCCTGTGTGTGAACAAACACACACATACACACATATTAGTATAATAATGTAATATGTTTACATGTGCATGTATTTTATAATATTCCAAAATGTTTCAAGGTTTTTATTTCATGCAGTAACCCTGTAAGACAGAGGAGCACTATTAATTTAAACCATATAAAATTGCATTTTTCTTGGTCAAAAGTGGCCAAATATTGGCAGTTCTATATATTTCAACCTAATGTTGGTATAAGCATTTAATACATGTGTCAACCAATTTACAAAGGTGTTAAGCAACCAACTTGAGCTTCCCTGGTTCCTAAGTGCTCGAGACGGAACCAGAATCCACCACGTCTTCTGACCCTTAGCTCAGTGTCATGTCCACCACAATATTACATAGAAGGAAAGAGCCTGTCCATGTGTAATATAAAACAAATGAAAGCATCTTGTCTATGTTTATTTTGTATTAAATTCACTATAGATAAAGATAATGAGAAAAACTTCAAGAAATCTGCTTTAAATGCTCTTCATTAATTTTTTGCAAACTTACGCATTTTTTTCCAAATCAGCGAAGTGCAAGGAATCAAGTCGTTTATGCTGTGAAAAGATTACATATTTAGTTTTCAAATTAGTTGGCTATGGGCAAATTATTTTTTACCTCTGCTGCATAGGGTTCAGGAAACTAAAGAAAAGGAAAAAGAATTATATCTGATTAAGTGGGGAAAAAAGATTATCATGTTATCATGTCATGAAAAGTTATTTTTTTCTTTTTTCTCGACATGTTTTAGTTTTCTTCTATCAAGAAGGGAGCCAAAGTCTCTCCACTTGGAGAAAGATGAAAGTGTATCTTTGGTTTCTGATACAGTCTTCCTAAATATCTGAATTGGAATTCAAATCAATAACCCAATCTCTCTTCTGATTATACTAATGTTTCTTTAAAATACAGATGTTTCAAATGAGTAAATCACATATAACTTGTTAGCTTTTTTTTTAATGCTACAGGGGATTCAAGCATATTATTATATATGCAATGTTTTCCCAAGATTTAGCAAATGACTACCAAACATGGAAATGCAGTTTAACAACTTAAACTAAAAGAAATGTACATCATTAATTTAAATTCAATTAGCTGGCTGCATCCCAGCACATGGCACTAGTTAAGTGCGTCAAGTGTGGCGTGGGAATTCCACTGGTCCAGCCAGCTCCTGATTTCTGCAAGCAGCTCGGCAAGTTGTTTTGTTGCCCTAGAAGGTAGATGCTTACTCCCTATGCACTCACAGCTTCTCAGTGCACAGGGAAGATGGCACTGATTTGTTTACCCATGAATGCTTTTTTGAGAGGAGAGAGGCCTCTGTACTTCAACATTTTCCCCCTAGACAGAAACGTGGGGAGGTGGAAGGAGGGTACTCCTGTGTCATTTCACTGTTTGTTGTGTTTCTTTTTTATCTTCCTAGCTATTTGAGAAGCTTCTTCATCTACCTTTCAAACTTAAAACCCAACAACAAAAAATAATTTTTCCATACGGTTATTAATTATGATTTCCAGACAAAAACAGATTATCCAACAAATTCAGGATGGAAAGAAATCTCCAGAAATGTCCTCTGATTACATGTGTATTTTATCTGATACCTGGTGGATGCAGTCAATGGGGAGACTGTGCGAGAGAGTCAAAAAAATACTTCCATATATAAGCTCTTCTATACCACAGAAATCCCCCGCCAATACACACAAACTAATTTTAGCCTATGACTACACAGAGTTGTCCACGTTGAATAAAATTAACACATCTACAATAATTCTGTGTTAACACATATATTCTCAGCATGGTAATCTTCACTGATTATCATTTTTATGTGTGTGATATAATTTTCTTTCAATAGTCACTGGCTAGCCTTGACTTCATGGATAAGAAATGGAATATGAAAAGGTCCGAAATTAGCAACTGTGTCAGCTGAGAATTACTACATAATTGTAATAGCCCAAAGGTACCAGAACCCCAAAACTCAGTGGCTTCAAACATGAAATGATTATTATTGCTTGCAAGTCAGCTGGGTAGTTCTAGTCTCTGCTGGGCTTAGTATCAGCACTGCTGATCATAGCTAGGATTGCTCACATGGTCAGTGGTCAGCTAAGGCTGGCTGGTGTAGGACAGCCTCACTGTTTCATCTCATGGTTGGCTGATTTGTGCCTAGGACAGCAGGGGTGACTAGTCTATTATATCAGCACTTAGCAGCCTAGCCCAAGCTTATTTGCAGGGCTCTGAGAGTGAGTGAAAAAGTTCAAGTCCTACTGAGCTGTAGCCTCAGATCTGGCACACCCTTGCCTCCACCAATTTGCATTAGCAGAAGCAACTCACAGCGTTAGACAGGATTCAGGGGGAGAGGAAAGAGACTCCACCTTTTAAAGGGAGGAGCCACAGAATCACATTGAAAAGGGTGTGGATACAGGGAGGTGTGAACATTTGTGGCCATTGAAAAAATAATTCTATCATAGTAGTTAGTAGAGTGTTTCGAAAGTATGCTTCACAAAACGCTGATTCTACACTATTAATTGGTGGTTTGCAAAACAACACACATGTACATGGTTATTAATTATGATTTCCAGACAAAAACAGATTATCCAACAAATTCAGGATGGAAAGAAATCTCCAGAAATGTCCTCTGATTACATGTGTATTTTATCTGATACCTGGTGGATGCAGTCAATGGGGAGACTGTGCGAGAGAGTCAAAAAAATACTTCCATATATAAGCTCTTCTATACCACAGAAATCCCCCGCCAATACACACAAACTAATTTTAGCCTATGACTACACAGAGTTGTCCACGTTGAATAAAATTAACACATCTACAATAATTCTGTGTTAACACATATATTCTCAGCATGGTAATCTTCACTGATTATCATTTTTATGTGTGTGATATAATTTTCTTTCAATAGTCACTGGCTAGCCTTGACTTCATGGATAAGAAATGGAATATGAAAAGGTCCGAAATTAGCAACTGTGTCAGCTGAGAATTACTACATAATTGTAATAGCCCAAAGGTACCAGAACCCCAAAACTCAGTGGCTTCAAACATGAAATGATTATTATTGCTTGCAAGTCAGCTGGGTAGTTCTAGTCTCTGCTGGGCTTAGTATCAACACTGCTGATCATAGCTAGGATTGCTCACATGGTCAGTGGTCAGCTAAGGCTGGCTGGTGTAGGACAGCCTCACTGTTTCATCTCATGGTTGGCTGATTTGTGCCTAGGACAGCAGGGGTGACTAGTCTATTATATCAGCACTTAGCAGCCTAGCCCAAGCTTATTTGCAGGGCTCTGAGAGTGAGTGAAAAAGTTCAAGTCCTACTGAGCTGTAGCCTCAGATCTGGCACACCCTTGCCTCCACCAATTTGCATTAGCAGAAGCAACTCACAGCGTTAGACAGGATTCAGGGGGAGAGGAAAGAGACTCCACCTTTTAAAGGGAGGAGCCACAGAATCACATTGAAAAGGGTGTGGATACAGGGAGGTGTGAACATTTGTGGCCATTGAAAAAATAATTCTATCATAGTAGTTAGTAGAGTGTTTCGAAAGTATGCTTCACAAAACGCTGATTCTACACTATTAATTGGTGGTTTGCAAAACAACACACATGTACACATAAAAAATGGGAGGAGAAGGTGAATGTCTACGGCCAAATGCAACTGGAAAGCTGCATTTATGGGATCCCTATCTGTGATGCCTAGAAATAAGCTAGGAGGAACAGCACTCGACTCCCTCCACAGAGGCAGTTACAGGTCCCTGTAGGTCTAGAAGCTCCTTCTCCCAGCAGCAGGGGTTGCACTGAGACTCAATTTCTCAAAGGCCCCTCAAGACTCCAGATACTGGGAAATGAATTTCCAGTAATCTCTGATATGACTGGTATGCAAACTCAGACTGCTAGATGTCTGAGCCCCCTTCTCCTCACTAAAGATTGTCCTCATTTCACATTATGCAAAGGGAGAGCACCAGGGTGGCAGATTCCTTTACAGGAATACAGCCTTCAGTATATCCAACTGTGCCCTGCCCCAGCACACTTCTCACATCTCCAAGGACTCTGAGAAAACAGGCCTGTGCACCTGCTGAGATCCCGCACCCAATGCCATTTGCTGGTGTTCCCACACAGGCCCTTGCATGACAGGGTCAAACAAAAATTATCAGGATTCTTTGCTTCCTTTCTTTGATTCTTAGTGCCTTTGTTGATCAACTCGCCAATAGACAGACAATGCAATTTCCAAGCTTTTTGATTAAAGAACCTTTCCTCAAGGAGCATCTTACAGGACTGGTATTACGCAGAGCACATGCTAAGGAATGATGTCTCATTTAAATAATAAATTTCAGTAAGATAAATACATAAAAATGCAAAT